ATGGAGTCCCGATGCTACGCCTTCGCGAACCATGTGTACGCACACTATCGCGGCATCATTACCGGTGAAACAAAAGCCTTCAATTCAGCACGCACTGGGGGACCAGTACCAGTTGCCGATGACGATGAAATGGTGAAAAGCCCACTGGAAAAGTACACCTACCAGGTCCTTGGTGACTATGAGAGGTGGTGTGGTAAGGTGGACACTTTTTCCCCATTCGTGTACGGTGAACTGTTTGAACGCCCAGGCGTGAAAGACCAAATGATATCAGGAAAGCAGAATCCTGATTTGGAAACATACGAGGTCACGTATGTCGTTCGCAGGCCCAATTTCAACGCCTATAGGAACCAGGTGTCGCCCAAAGAGATGCTGCCCAACTACAACCGACCTCGGTTTGATTGGCGCAAGATCCACCCCGAGACTGAGGGTTATGGCAACACTCGATGGATGGTCGTTGAGGGCATTCAGATGCCAGAAGATCAGTGCCCGACATGCACAAATACCTACACCCATGGCATGATGTCCTGCATCACATGCGGCACCTTCCTCAACAATGCCTCGGATCTGTGTAAAGCTGCTCAGCTCATTCGGATCGAGGAAATTGCAGCCGATCTCGGTATCGAAGTCACGATGGACATGGTACCTGAGGACAGGCTGCAAGGAACAGGTGTGAGGAGGACGCCGGCGGGGACGCCTGGCCATGAAGTTCAACGTGCTTCTCGTTCGGGCATCAACATCTTGAAAGCGAACGCCAAAAGCCATGTCCAGAAGGCGGACAAAATGTCCATGACAGTATCGCAGCGACAGCTGACTGACGCTTTCTACGCGTTCAACTGTGCAGCCCAGGACCTCTCTCCAATCTGCATTCAGTTCCTGGAACGACTATCAGATGCCATCATCCCTGACCCTCCGAGGACAAGGGAAATGATTGCTCGTGGCGTCGGTCATCGATACGCTGGTAAAGTCATCTTCATGAACGAACCAGCAAAAGGGAATGATGCTGACCTGAGCGAGGACTTCTTCATTTATTGGAAGAACAGGCTGCACCGTCCTGAGACTTTCGCTGCGGACTATTGTCAAGGTGCGAAACGACCCGCAATCCTGGGATTTGGAGGTGAGTGGCGAAGTGAGAAGACAGACCCTGATGATGTATTGGATGAACTCCTGGAATTCGTGATGGGCGATGCTCAATTTGTACCTGGCTTGGATATCAACCTTGTGAAAGAAACAAGGGCACTTGTGATTCCCAAGGCCAAGGCCGCACCAGGTCCAGGTGAAAGTCTGGCCAGAGCAACACGTACTCAAGCCGAGACATCAGAGCAACGCTGGCGAGGAGCTGCTGGAAGTGATCAATACCATGATTGGCAGCAATCATCCTCATCGTCTTCCTGGTGGTCCTCATCCAACCGCAACTGGTGGCAAGATGATCGCGGTCGTGGCAGTGACTGGCGAGGACATGACTGGTGGAGTCAGCGCAGGTGGTGAACACGACGCACAGCGGGAGCTGTTGCCTGTGGAGAAGAGAATGAAATCTACGGGTGACTCGGCTGTCTTTGTGCACTGTGTTTTTCCCTCAACGCACCGCGGGAGCGGTTGCCTGGATGACCGTTTCTGTGATGCACCGGGGGACCAGATGCCTGAAACCAGCAGCTAATTCGTTTGAGTTCAGGTCGATGAACTTGGCTCTCAATCCTTGCAATGAAGAGCGCACATCTTTTGTTGTGCTTTGTCGCCACGCGGGAGCGTGTGCCTTGATGGCTTTGTTCCTGCTTTCTAAAAGGTTGGCATTGCACTCCCAGTTCCGCTGCGCAAAAGAGATTATCTTTGTGAGCTTGCTTTGAACGTTCACGCATGAATCAGTTGAGACATGTTCAACCTTAGCATCAAAGCATGACAGTGCATTATGTGATCCGTCCTTGAGGTCAACCATCCTCTCCATCTCAAGGCACGTTCCGGTTCGATGCTTCGCACGTACCGGGGGACCGGATACCTTCGTAGGTCCTTAATTAGTGCACTGTACATAACTTCACTCCTCCCATTTTCGTTCAGCGGGGGGTGTTGTTTCACGCTAGGATGTCGTATACATGTCTCACTTACCTACCGCTTGGCTCAAGGAAAACCAGGTGCGACTTGTTGGTAGTTCTCGGTCGTTTACCTGTATCTACAACATGCTTGAGAGCACTTTTTTCATCAGAGCTTGTCGGTGAAGTCCTGTAGAAAGCTGCCTTTGCCTGCCTGCCAGACATGAAGAACCAAACAAAACCTAGCGTCACCAGAAAAACTAACACCAACAGATGTAAGAATCAAAACACATGAAGTCAGTAATCCTACAGCACCATTCAACAAGGAAGTGTATTGCAGTTTCTTTCGTATTCCCACCCAGCCTTCATGCAGACAGCTGTGAGTCTATCCCCCACTCTTCATCATCATCTCCTGGTGACATGCTGGATTTGGGAAGGGCATTCAAAGAAGCTTGCACATGGCAACCTATGTTGAAACAAGTTTGTTTTCTCCTTCTGGTGTCACCTTCTCTTCTTCGCACTTCCTGGATGCAAAGACACACACACACACTATGTCACTATGCTAAAATCTTGTTGTTTTCCAAGAAATAGCCAAGATGCCATCTAGGAGGTGTTGGTGGTGTTTTTGGCCTGTGGGACATGTACAAATATAATCCTAAGATTGAAATAATCCTACCTCGCAGTAAGCAAACAAGTCTGCATGTAAAACAACAATCGTAAAAGTGCTGAAAAAATCCTTCCGGACACTGAACAAACAAGCCTGCGCAGGGAGATGTCGATCTTGTTAATCCCTTTGCCCTTCCTTGGGTCACAAATTTGTACACACGCATCAATTTCAAGTATTGTGCCTTTACAGCCCAGTGACTGCATATCCACCTGCTGGCCCATGCCTTTGCCTTCGGCACTGCGAGGCCAAGGGTGGCTTATTGGCCTTGGATGTAAACAAACCGCAACCCTACCTACATGCAAATCACATCACAAAATTCAACAAAGGTACACTTCCAATGGCTCTTGGTCTTCAGCTTCTACTGGATTGGGATGCCCTGATGCCAAGGACAGCCATTCACTCAATGATCCTTTAAGACTTTCTTGTTCAAGAGAAGGTGCCAAAGAAAGAATTTGGGTGAACTGTTTGGAAAAAACAAGGTGCAGTGTTGAACTCCCAGACCCAGTGGCTGGGTCCAAGATGTTCTGCCCATATGGCCTGACAAGATCAATTGCTTTTGAACATTCAATCCAAATTGAAGTGGCCTTGGCGTTCTCCTAGTGCCCTTCTCTGCAATTTCTTCCCCTTCCTCTAACTTCCTTGTTGGCTCTGCTCTCCTGGACAGCTGGCCACAAAATTGACCACCTGCAAACTTGAATTGAATGGCAAATAAGCATTCCCTTGCCAATGGAATTGCACCAATTTGGCAAATGTGGTTTTGCAGCCAAGCAACAAAGAAGCAACACTCATTATGCTTTCACCTGGAGCATCAAGGGGTGGGTTGCACAATTGAATACCCATTCATGGGTCATGTGGAAATAACCCTAGGCACCTACAGTAATCCTGCAAACCGTCCAAAAAAATCACAGAAGGCTTTTAGCATGTTAGCCACTTTCCCCCACTGCCTCACTGGACAGCAAAATACAGGTGCTCCTCCTTGACCTTCTTGAAAAGGTTTTCAGCTTCCACAGGCTCTTCCTTGACCTACTTGTAGAGGCCTTGACCTGCTGGAGCTGCTGCATGTTCATCCTTTTGTTTCTTGTCCTTCTTTTCCACAACTGTTTGTGCTTCCTCAGCTTGCTCCTTGCCTTTGCTTTTTGAAGCAAACCCAGCCTTGCTCTTTGGAGCTAGCTTCAGCCCTGGGTTGGTCTCTAGTGGCCTCCTGGCTTGAAAGTTTTTTGGCTTTGCTTTGGGCTTTGCTGACAACACCTGTGTCCTTTTGTTTGGTCTTCTTTCTCTTTGCCCTGGGCTTCTTCACTTCATGGACATCAGCCAGCACTTCTTTTTCATTGGCACTGAGCTGTCCAAGTTCAAATCAGCAGGGATCACATCTTTCTTCTCCATTGGCAAGCTCACAGAGCTGGAGGAAGCAGTATTTCCTTTAGAAAGCTGAGGTGTTGGAGGATCGCTGCAGACCTTCTTCAAGATGTTGTCAAAAATGACCAGCCCAGCCAGCCCAGGCACCTCCTCCTTGGGAGAACCAGGTGCCTTCTCTTCCTGGAGGGGCACTGCTTTGTCAGGTGCACTTTCATCTTGCAAAGCAAGCATAGCCAGCGCTCTGTCCACATATTCCTTCTCTGTCAAGCTGGCCTTCTTCATAGCCCTTTGGTATTTCAAAGGATTCTTCTTCAATTCTCTGTATTGTGCAGCACAGATTCGAAGCTGTTCATCACAGACATCTATCCATGTCTTGTCGTCTTTCTTGGAAAAGTTCATTCTATGAACAGTGGCTTGAATCTTCTCCAATGCCAACCTCACCTTTTTGCTTGATAGAACTCCATCTCGATGGATTCTGAACAAATCCACAAAAAGCCCAGAGACATGTTCTTGCCCCAGCCATTTTGCATCAGCTGAACATTTCGATGTCATACCCTCCTTGTGCTTTGCTTGCAGCAATGTCAAGAGGCCCCATGTTCCAGATTGCTCGCAAACCTTCTTCAAAGGTTCTATGAGGTCAGTGACCCCTACAGCTGGATCAGGGGTGAGCCTCTTCATGACTTGAGCACAGAAAGCTTCCTGATAGCGAAAAATTCACATGCTTACAGCAAATGAACAATAATCCTAAAGGCGAGCATACAAACCAACATATACACCACAAGGAATCTCCTACCTCTCAAGAAACAATAGCGCCATTGGAAACTGTGAAAGCTATACCAGGACAAACACATACACCAGAAATAATCCTACTCTCCAATCAATAATCCGACCACCCAATCCTACTCTTCAATCAATGATCCTACCACCCAAACACTTTTTCACCTCACCACCCTGACCAATTCCTCTTCTGTCAGCATCACTTGTGGGCGCGCCATCATCTCCAACAGGACCTTGCTGGAGACCAAGCAGTCCTTCATCACCTCCTGCACTTCCAGGAGCTTCTTCAAGTGCAGGTAGATCAGCAGCAGCAACACGGCCAGTGTCAGCAGTGCCAGCTCAACCACATGGCCTCTTCGGTGCAAAGCCTTGCAAAGGGCAGCTTTTGAGGTGTATGGCTGCTACAGAGATCTAGTTTCTACTGCAAAAGAAATAATCATACATGCTATCAAGTGGTGAAAAATAATCCTACACAACACCACCAAAAAGTAATCCTACCAACACAACAATACACAACACTGAAAACCATCAACAATAATCCTAGGCAGCTCCCAAATGCCCAAGCCTACCACATTAACAAAAATAAATGCACACATCCATCAGTAGAACTATTAAAAGAACTAGCTCTAACAAGTTACCTTTCAACAAAAAGTTAACTCTAACAAGTTACCTTTAAACAGACAATTTGACAAGTTATAACGTTTCAAATTATCTATTTAGTTAAAAATACCTTCACTGTTGTATTGTTAAGAAACATGAGTTAACTTTCTGAGACAATTTTTTTGTCCAACCAGATCTATAAGAGTGTTGCGGAACTCTCTTCCAGGACACTCTTGTGGGACACTCTTGTAGGACACTCTTGTCGGACATTCTTGTGGGACACTCTTACGGGGCACTCTTGTGGGGCACTCTTGTTTGTCACTCTTGCGGAACACTCTTGTAGGACACTTTGCGAAACAGTCATGTAGGACACTCTTGTAGGACACTCTTGTGGGAAGCTCTTGTGGGAAACTGTTGCCGAACTCTCTTCTAGGACGCTCTTGTGGGACACTCTTGTAGGACTCTGTAGGACACTCTTTTGTGGGGCACTGCTATTAAAGTCTCCAAAAATCAACTGTCACATCTCCAAAACGAGCGTTTTGCACGAGACTTCTTCCAAAAGTCGTGCGCCAAGACCGCAAAACGAGCCTTTTGTGCGAGACTTCCTCCAAAAGTCACGCGCCTAGTCTCCAAAATGCACATTTCGTACGAGACCTCCTCCAAAAGACACGCGTCAAGTCTCCAAAACGAGCGTTTCGTACGAGACTTCCTGCAAAAAAAGTCACGCGTCAAAGTCTCCAAAACGAGCATTTTAAAAGTCAAGCTGGGAAGCCCATCGGAGCACACACACCAAGCAGCCCTGCCAAGTAGTTTCGCAATTCCAGCCCCTCCAAACAACGCCCGCTCACATGCCAATCGCAATGTCACAGCGACATTCACCTCCACCACAACTCGCAACCTTACGATTCCCTGCGCCTGCCACGAAAATTTACACTTCCACGCACCTCAAAACCCGCACAAAGTACTGCGCCTGCCACGAAAAGTGTCAATATCATATCACGTAGGCTTCAACAACATACCACACCACACGTTTGGAATGATTTCGACCCGTTCTGAGCACGCTTCAATCCACCAATATCACCATTTCAGCGGAGACTTGTCACGAAAACACAGCTTCGATGCAACACCCTGAAACGCAAGTCCCAATGTCACAGCCACATCCAACACCCCAAAAACACCACCCTCCAAACGCCAATCTCAATGTGACTACGCAGAAAACTGCGGATCTCACAAAACGCTGCGCCTGCGCATTGAAATCGCCCTCCACACTTTAACATCTTACGTTTCCATGCGTTTCCTCGCTATTTCACAAAAATTTGACACGTCACGCTTCCATGCAAAACCCTCTCCAAAGGCTTCCCCAATGGCTGCGGCGTTAGTCCCCTACCCCGAACACACGCAGACGGTTGCTAACGGTGAGACAACGAGTCGCGAACAAGGCTCTACCCCCAGAGTTAAAGGAGAATTCTGTTTGAGGGCTGCCTTTAACAAGCAATCTGTTTGACCAGGATCCTTCAACTGTTTGACTGACACCATCGAAACCTCGGCCACAACCTCCTGGCGTCAAAAAAAGAACCGTGCGCATTATGGCATAAGACAAGAAACCCTGCGCCCTGCGCCTAAAAGAATGTACATTTGGGTGAAGACATTTAACAAGGATTCCGTTGACGGGTGCCTTTGACAAGGACTCTGTTTGACGGGGGTCCTTTAACAGGGACTCTGCTTGACGGGTGCCTCCAACAAGGGCCTTGTTTGACGGGGAACCTTTAAATAGAACACTGCTCCTTGCAGAAGGATTCTGTTTGACGGCCACTCTTGCGGAACTCACTTGTAGGACGCTCTTGTGGGACACTCTTGTAGGACACTCTTGTCAGACATTCTTGTGGGACACTCTTAGGGGACACTCTTGTGGGACACTCTTTGCGTTCGCCTTTCTTGTCGGACACTGCACACTCTTGCCAAACAGTCTGTAGGACACTCTTGTGGGACACTTTTATGTCGCTCTTGCGGGACACTCTCGTAGGACACTCTTGTCGGACACTATTGTGCGACACTCTTGTGGCGCATTCTTGTGGGACACTTTTGTCGGACACTCTTGGTGGACACTCTTGTGCGGCACTGCTACTGAAGTCTCCAAAAACCAACCGTCACATTTGAAAGCGGGCGTTTTGCACAAGACTTCGTCCAAAAGTCACACATCAAGACTGCAAAACGAGCATTGCGCACGAGACTGCTTCCAAAATTCACTTGTCAAGTCTCCAAAACGAGCGTGGCGCACGAGATTTTCTCAAAAACTCATACTTCGAGTTTGTATCACGAGCGTTTCGTACGGGATGTCCTCCAAAAGTCACGCGTCCAGTCACACGTCAAAGTCTCCAAACCGAGCATTTCGCACGAGACTTCCTCCAAAAGTCAAGCTGGGAAGCCCATCGGAGCACGCACACATCAAGCAGCCCTGCCAAGCAGTTTCGCGATTCCAGCCCCTCCAAACAATGCCCGCCCACACGCCAATCCCAATGTCACAGCGACATTCACCTCCACCACAACTCGCAACCTTACGGTTCCCTGCGCCTGCCACAAAAATTTACTTGTCCACACGTCCAACACGCACAAAGTACTGCGCCACGAAATGTCACCTCCGTCACACCTCGCAATGGAATTTCCCCTAGGAAATGGGTACCCTTAACCCTGTTATAGCAACGCTATTATAGTTTTTACTAGAGAATCATGCTTTTAATTCCTAGACGCATATGCATTCTATAGAAATCGATGGTGTTGATGACATTTGTGGCCGAGATCGTATAAGCAAAACAAACCATTTTCTAGAGACAATTTTGAAGAGGGAAATACTCTTAGACAAGACGTTGGGCATATCATTTTCTAGAGGCAGTTTAAACAGTGTTCATGTTTTTTTATGATTGCAGGAGCGCAGCATGAGCGGCATGATAGATTTTTAAGTCTGCTCAAATCTACTTTTGTGAATCGTCCTGGACCTCCATAAGATGGATCTTCACAACCTCCGGTTTGGCGTTGGCATAGATGATGAAACAGTTCTCTAGAAAATGCAAATGCAACCTTTGGCAATTTTCTTCAAATTGCTTCCAAAGGTTGTGTAGGACCATTTTCTAGAGCCCAGCTACTGACTGTCCTACTCTTGTTTTATTTTACCTTTTTAGATCCGTGTGCATTTTACAGAGCACTTTTTTCAGGCATCCGCTGTCATTTTCTAGTATTTTCCTGACGCCCAAATTTTTATACCTATCAATGTTCCGCCCAACTCCTCCTTGAAATCCTAATAGGGATCGAAAATCGCATTTCCACACACCAAAACCCGCACAAAGTACTGCGCCTAAGTGATGGTACCATATCATGTGAGCTGCAACAAAACTTGCACCACACCAAACGTTTGGAATGATTTCGACACGTACTGAGCACACTCCCATCCACCAATATCACCATTTCAGCGGAGACTTGTCACGAAAACACAGCTTCGATGCAACACCCTGAAACGCAAATCCCAATGTCACAGCCACATCCAACACCCCAAAAACACCACCCTCCAAACGCCAATCTCAATGTGACTACGCAGAAAACTGCGGATCTCGCAAAATGCTGCGCAGGCAGTGAAATCATTCTCCACACTTTAACATCTTACGTTTCACATGTTTCCTTGTTATTTCACATGAATCTGACACGTCATGCTTCCACGCCAAACCCTCTCCAAAAGCTTCCCCCAATGGCAGCGCCTTAGCGCCCTACCGTGGACGGTTCCGAACGGTAGACAACGGCTGCAAAACGCTGAGACAACGGGTCGCGAAAAAGGCCTGTACACTTTGTATAGTAGTATAGCGCTACATACCTCAGCCCTTTTGCAATGAAAATAGTCGCGCTACCCGCTTGCATGGTAGCGAAGCCGGGTCTAGGGCCCCGGCTCCACCCCTTTGTCAGACAAGGTAAAGCCCTTGCGGTGCTTGCGTGAGGGGGATCGGCGTAAATCCGGGATAAAGATCCATGGTGGCAAGCGTCGCTCATGGCTGGCGTTGGTTCTGGCACTCCTCCCCAAGCCTTTGCATCTCCTATGGCAGGATCACCTTCGCCTGGAGGAGCCCTACAGCAGATGGGGCCTGGCCTCGCAGTGGGCGGAGGTGGCTTGATAGATACAAGAGCCGTAGGCAAGTTGCACATGTTCAGCGGCAAGGAGGGGGACTGGCCTCCTTTGGGCATTCGTTGTTCCATGCGATGATAGCTGCAGCTGAGCAAGCTCCCAGGTATTCAGATTTGCACTTGGCCGACATGGGACAGAATGGGCAGGAGAAGGCAGTGGTTTTGTTCAACTTGCTGACCCAATGGGTCGAGGGAAGAGCCTTGATTACCAGTTCTGATGAACATGGAGAATGGCAACGGCTTTGCAGCTTGGAAGGCTCCATGTGAGGCCTATCAACCTGACATTGGTGGCAGGCTGTTGACAGGGATCATTGCCCGTGCATGGGGTTCAGTGAAGGAGATTGACTTCCTCGAGGCGATGGAGACCTGGGAAGTGCAGATTAGGCGCTATGAAGTGCAAAGCGGGGAACAAGTGTCAGATTCAACCAAGATCGCCGTCTTGATGAAGCACAGCCCAGCTTCTGTGAGATCAGCGTTGAGGATGGCTGGATCGCAGATTAGAACTAACTATGAACGCGCAAAGAAATTCCTACGGACTTCTTGCAGAGCGGCTCCTACTACACCAACCGAGGTGAGAGCACAAGAGATGATGGTGGCCCAGCTC